GCACTCGACCTTGACGAAGAGCATTCATGAGGGGATTTTATTGACTGGGTCCTGCTTCCACTGACCCCATGAACACATTGCCCTCAGTCCATGCTGACGCTTCGGGGAGCTGACCCCACAAAGGACTGTGTGGAGGCTCCAAGTACCGCGGGCCTTTCTGTAACCCAGTCCCTCGGCTCCGTGTGGCCCTCGGGCCAGCAGCCCATGGCAATCTCAAGAAACCATAGCGACCGGCCTTCTCCCACGGACACTACTGTGTACGAGATGCATCCTGACCATGAAAACCATCCCCCTGGTTAACTTCTGGTGCCAAAAAGACAAGAGGTTTACCAAGATCTCTTCCTCACCAGCACTGGACCTTTGTTCCCCATTTCTCGTCGGCCCCAAGTTGTTGAGAAAAACGTATGCTGGCTCTTTAGCCAGAGACTCAAGTCCTCGGTGGATGGTTACAAGAGGCTCTGGGTGGGAATGAATCTGGCTCCCGGCAGTACCAGTTGGTTCCCCATATTCTTAAAATAGAAAAATGACAAATTACCGCTCTGCCAGGGCTGCATCTGGTGTAATCCAGAGAGTATGTTTGGAAGTGTCTGACGGACTCGCCACAGGAATCTTGATGGCACCGGCCAAGACATCTGAGGCCAAGGAGGGCCAAGCCCAGGACCATCCCGTCCTGGGGGGGATTCCAGTGATGAGGCGCTGGGCTTGGACGTGCCCAGGCAGGTCTATGGCCGCGGGCGGCTATTTCCATGCCGGCCTTGGCTGGGGAAGGCCGGCGGGCTGGTCCGAATGGAGAGGGCGTGGGGGCACGTGAGGACCCAGGTTCTGAAAAGTGCCTTTTGAAAAACACGTGCATTAATTAGATAATATATCTTGTTTTTAAATACCTGGCATTGGATTGGCTCAGTGGATAGAGCTTCGACCTGTGGACTGAAGGGTCCCAGGTTCGATTCCAGTCAAGGGCATGCACCTCGGTTGTAGCACATCCCCAGTGGGGGGTGTGCAGGAGGCAGCTGATGGATGTTTCTCTCTCATCGATGTTTCTAACTCTCTATCCCTCTCATTTCCTCTTTTTAAAAAAAGCAATAAAATATATCTTAAAAAAAAATACCTGGCACTCGTGTTATTCGCATGAGGATTCCTGGTAGTTGGAAATGGTCTATCGCTCTTTGGGAGTCTGTAGTCCTCCTGTGGAAAGAGAGGGACATGCTCCATGGCTGCCGGGGGGGGGGGGGTTGCTGCTTGGTGGCTTTGGGGATGTGGGAGGGCGAGTGAGTTTTCCCGGATCTTGGAGGGGAGTCAAGTGTCTAAACCTGCTGTTTGAACCGGCCCTTTCGCCGCAGCGCCCACATTCACTTCCAGAAACGTGTTACCGTTGACCTGATGCACCGCCTGGCGGCCATGCTTATCGTCCATCACACGCGTGTTCACGTCTGTGCCTCTGGCCCGGGGCCTCCTCACCGCACTGTCCGGGCAGAGGCTGGCTGATGAGCCCCAGTGTCTTTCTGTCTTTAATTCATAACCACGATTATAACCCCAGAAGCACCAACTTACCGCCCTTCTTAGGTGCCCGGCCCTGGCCGCAGAGCTTTGATACCGCCTGCATTTCCATCTCCCAACACCGTTAGGGGAGGCCTCCCTGATGACCGTGTGGGGACCGGGCGCGGGGAGGCGCGCCGTGGTCTGTCCACGCAGCAGACAGCGAGCAGGGGGAGCAGCACGAAGCTCACAACCACCCCCAGCGTGAGAGGATTACAGAAAAGAGGCCATTTCTCAGGCGGGTGTGGAGGTCTCCGGGCCCGTTTTGATTCTGCACGTCGCGTGGGGACGTCACCATGACCGTTCTCTGGAGCCTTTGGTCCTTCAAGACGATCTGTTAAGTGACAGCTACTGCCCTTGCCTTCCTGGGGAACGGGGAGCCATCTACTGTGCACCCCCATTTATGAGATTCACTTTTAAAAACGTTAAACTCTTGCCGAGACCGGTTTGGCTCAATGGATAGAGCGTCAGCTTGGGGACTGAAGGGTCCCGGGTTCGATTCCGGTCAAGGGCATGTACCTTGGTTGCGGGCATATCCCCGGTGGGGGGTGTGCAAGAGGCAGCTGATCGATGACTCTCTCTCATCGATGTTTCTAACTCTCTATCTCTCTCCCTTCCTCTCTGTACAAAATCAATAAAATATATTTAAAAAAAAAATAAAAACGTTAAACTCTTTATTTGGATGTGATTTCAAACTAACAGAAAAGTTGCAATAGTGTAGTATTAAAAATAGCCGTATGTACCCTGGCTGGTGTGGCTCAGTGGGCAGAGCGTCAGCCTGTGGACCAAAGGGTCTATGTTTGCTTCTGGTCAAGGGCACGTATCTCGGTTGCAGGCTTCTCCCTGGCTGGGCCCCGGTCGCGGTGTGTGCAGGAGGCTGCCGGAGGCAACCAATCTGTGCGTTCTCTCTCACATCGGTGTTTCTCTCTGTCCCCACCTCTCTCTTTCACTGTCCCTAAAAACCAGTGGGAAAATATCCTCGGGGGAGGACTAAACAAAAAACAAAACAAAATACCCACCCACCTTTTACTCAAGTTCACGTATTGTTGTGCTTCGCTCTACTTCTTGTCACCTTTGTCTGACTCCGGGTGAGCGCATGTGGGGGAAAGTATGCGCGGCCGCATTTTTTCTTCCTGAATCATTCCGGGGCACGCTGCATCCACGCTGGCCCTTTTCCCTCAACGCAGACCTCGGCGTGCGTCTGCTGAGTGCGGGGAGGTTCTCGCACAGGGCCACACCCCAGCAGCCACCCGCGGGACCTCTCCCGTGGGCGCGGCCCTGGGACCTGGGCACAGGCCGTTCTGGCCGTGTGGCATGCCGCCCCCGGCGCAGTGCCCACCCGAGGCCGGCCTGGGCACAGAGAAGGCTCTAATTGCGCCCACTTTTATTTCTGCCCCGCCCTAGGAAAGGTGGCATATAACCCCACCTGACATATAACCCCACCTGACATGTCACCAGCTGAGGGGGACATCTGATGAAGCTCAAACTTCTGGTGTTTGTCATCATGGCTTGATGTTTTGCAGCTCCTGATCATTAAGATGTACACTTTCCTTTGAAAACTAGTTACTGGAGTGGCTTCTATTAATTACGTTATGTGCCTAAGTGAATTACTTTTTTGGGCCTCAGCTGAAATTTTAACAATAGCTTAATGACATTAATGTAATTTGAGTTTTAAAAGAGACTTCTATTTCTTGATACTCACTAGCCTAATGCGGGATTACTGGAAAAATAGGAAACTCTGAGAAAGAAAATTAGATTTTTATTTTTTTTTTGCTTGAGAGGCATGATCGATGCTGACACGTATGAAAGAAAATTCTTAAATAATCTGAGTGCTGATTGTATCACTCTCCCTGCCAGGACACACAGGGCTGCCTGCTGAACGGCCAGCTTTCCCTGCTTCCTGGTCCGTGGCAGTGCTGAGCTTCTGGTAGTCGGAGGCTCACGCAGGGAGGGCCGTGAACGTGGCTGCCAGCTGTCTTCCCGTTCCCGTCCCCGTTCCTGTCTCCAGGAGCCTGTCCCAGCAGCACGGAGCTCCCAAGCACCGTCCTGACCGTCTTCAGGTTCCCGGCAGCCTGTCCCTCTCCTGGCCGCCTCCTCCTCCCCGGGACCCCGCTGAAGGCGGACCAAACCCTCCCGGCTCCGAACCATTGTCCCATCCCCGCCTCCCGAGGCCTCCGGTCGCCACAGTTCTCACTCGGTGACCACAGCTGAGAGCCAACCGTCTCTACCACCATCACCATCGTCGATTTCTTTATTCATTTTAGGACAGAAGAAATGTTTCTTTTTTGGAATCAGACCCAGTCGTTTGTAATAGTGATTGCTGAGCCACGTTGGCAACCCTGACCTTTGCTTTCCCTCCCAGGCCCATCTCCCATCTTGCATTTTTGGTTTTGTTAATGTCCTTAGTCAAGGAACCAACATCTGCCTGGCCAGCACGGCTCAGTGGTTGAGCGTTCACCTATGACCCAGGAGGTCACGGTTTGATTCCTGGTCAGGGGACAGGCCTGGGTTGCGGGCTCAATCCCCAGGGAGGGGCATGCAGGAGGCAGCTGATCCATGACTCTCTCTCTCATCATTGATGTTTCTATCTCTCTCTCCCTCTCTGAAGTCAATAAAAATGTTTTGTTTTTTTTTAAAGGAATTAACACCCAATGAATTGGAAAGGCATGTTGGTGACCTTGTTACCATGTAGCATCATGTATTACAGAGACCGAAGGCCCCCAAGGCCAGCCTGCCGTTCTCAGCATGACTGCTAAGGTTAATGGCGACACACCACGTCCTCTCTCGGGCATTCCCTCCCCGTGAAACTGGGACTTCACCCAGCATCGTGGAAGCCCGGCCCCTCGCCGAGCCCGTCACCCACCACTGCCAGGCCATGTCTGCCGTGCGTGAGGCCTATCTGCCCCTCCCCTTGAGCAGCTGTGCCGAGATCTCAGCCACGTTAGGACCGTGGTCGGCAAACTGCGGCTCGTGAACCACCTGTGGCTCTTTGGCCCCTTGAGTGTGGCTTTTCCACAAAATACCATGGCCTGGGCGAGTCTATGTTGAAGAAGTGGCGTTAGAAGAAGCTTTGATTTTAAAAAATGTGGCTCTCCAAAGAAATGTCAATTGTTGTGCTGTTGCTGTTTGGCTCTGTGGACTGAGGAGTTTGCCAACCACGGGCTCAGGAGACGCAGGTGGTCTGGCTCAGGGAGCCGCAGCGGGAGCAGCGGGAGGGCGCTCCCAGGAGGAAGCTGAGGCTGGGGTGCTTCGGAGGGACTGCCCGTCTGCTCTCACAGGGCTGCTGGCCCTCTGCTCCCTTCTCAGTTCACACCCATTGGGGGGGTATTGGTCATTCACTGGGTTTTGGAGGGCTCTTGCCCGGCCGCTGACTCCCGGCACTCTCTGTCCAGCAACTGCGTTCCACACCTCTGCGCCCCAAGCCCAGACGACCTCCCTGACACCATCCGCGACGGAGACCATTGGGCTTTTTAAAGTTTTTTTATTTTTTCACTCATCGTTTATTTACAAATACACATTATAACTTTTATGTACATTGCACATTTACATGGTAGAAAAAGTACAAAACTATATATTTAAATGAGTTTTTATTTAACTTGCCATGTTTGAGAGTATAAAATTGCATCAGGAAAAAAAGTATTATGAAAAGCAAGAAACTTGAACTGAGAAAGCTCTGATAGGACTTGTGGTGACACACCGGTGGGAAAAGGAACGAATTTTAAAGGTACAGGAGCCCAGCTTCCAGGAAACACCGAGCGAAAGGCAAGTGGGTGGGGAGCACCCCCCTCCGTCCACCCCCCGCCCCCCGGACACCCATCACTCCGCCTCTTTGGGTCTGGAACACCTTAAGAGCTCTGATGACCAGAGGCCTGAGGCCGCCGCCACCTCGGCCTCACCACGTCTCCATCACAACCAGAGGACGGGGGTCGGCGTTTCCTCCGAGCTGCGCCCCTGGGCCTCCTGTCTGAGCCACTGACAAGGCCTTTTGGTCAGCCAGGGTCCCATGTAAACAAAACCTGAGGGGGCGTGTGCGCACAGAGCAGGCAGCAGAGAACCCAATAAATAAACAGGACAAACCGACGTGCAGGTTCGTGCGAGGGGCGCGGAGCCCGAGGCCGGACGGGGCCGTGGGGGGCTGGGGGGGGGTGGTGCGTGGCCGGGGAGGAATGGTTCGATGGTTTACAAGGCAAACAAAGCCGTCACTTCACAAGCAAGAGACCTCACAATAAATAACTGCTCTTCCTCTCACGAATAAATTTCTTCAAAAAAAAAACAACAAAAAAAAAACAAGGCGTACAGTCAACCAGACACTTTATGTATAAATTATAAAACATGACACAGTATAAATAAATGTCTACACGTCTCGGCGACGGGCCTCAGCCAGGAGACCTTGCAGGGCGGCCTCTCTGGTCGGAGGAGTAACAGGTGGCCGGGGAGAGAGCCGGAGGACCGGGGTCCTCCAGGCGTACTGTCCCCCAATAAATAAGCATACACTTATGTACAGTATGGACACTATGTATCTCCCCCCTTCCTTCCTCTCCTTTCTGTGTCCCGCCCGGCCTGCGCGGCGGGCGGCTTTACCACTCTAGAATGGAGGAAATGGGGAAGCTGTAGTCCTGGTCTTCGTCCTCCTCCTCCTCCTCGGTGTCTTCGGAAATGGCTAGATGGGGGAACACAGGGAGCTGCTGTTTAACGCGGACCACACCGGCCAGAGCCGCTCAGGGTGCGTGGCCCTCTGCAGCCACGTGACCGCGGTGCACTTTTACGTGACTTGCAGGGAGATGCTCTTTATGTTTTTATTTTTATTTTTTGGCATCTGCTGTTCTGCAATACGTTTTTTAAAAATGCTAAAAAAAAAAAAAAAAAAAAAAAAAGAAAGAAACACCGAGAACACCACCATAATCTATGAAGTCAACAACGGCAGAAAGTTCTGAAGAATCAATGGCTCAGGCTTAACGGGCAGATCCTGAAATCAGACAAAAAGCGTTCTTGTGTTCTAGGCACCAGCGCGGGTCCTCACGTCAGGGTTAGTGCAGGCGGCTGCGCGGTGCAGCCGCACGCGGGACAGCAGAAAGCTGCCTCCGAGACCGAGAACGACAGCTTCGGAAGCCGTTAGTGCGGGTCCCGGGTTAATGCAGCCAGCAGCCAAGCACAGGACCACCGCCGAGGCGTTAGGGGGCTCTGAGCACCACGGCTTTCGGAGGCCGCCCCGCCGGGCGGTCACGGACACAGCCCGGGGAGCATTCCTGCGGGCCACGGAATCGCCGGCAGAACCGAGCGGCTACCTAAGGTCAAGGTCAAGGGCCCCCATCTCTGCTCCCTCGGGGCGAGGCTGGGGGGTCCTTAGGTTGGAGCAGGCTGAGCACGCACTTACAGTTGCAGGATCCGGAGTGCTTCACCTCCAGCAGCACGCCGGCCGAGCAGGCGGCCTCCCGCATGGCGCACTCGCTGGCGTAGGTGGCGTTGTCGCTGGCGCAGACGGGCTCCTCGGACTTGCTCTCCGGGCACAGCTCGTCGCACAGGGAGCACCGGCCCCGGCCGGCCTTGAAGTCCCACAGGCACTTCTTCCCGCCGCTGCACGGGATGTCCTCACAGGACTTTGCTTCTGGGATACAATGGACCTGTGATGAGTACGCGGCCCCTCTGCCCCCCTCTGCGCCCTTCCTCTGCTCCCCTAACAAGACCTCTTTCCGTTTTGTTTTGTGAAACCTCGCCTGAGGACGTGTTTCCGTTGATTTTTGGGGAGAGTGGAGGAGAGGGAAGACGGAGGGAAACATGGATGTGAGAGGGGCAGATGGATGGCTGGTCTCCGGCAGGAGCCTCGACCAGGGCTTCGGGCCAGGGAGGAGCGAGCCACCCGGGACCCTTCCATCCACAGGGCCACGCTCTATCCACTGAGCCAAACTGGCTAAGGCTAAACATATAACTTACATGTCATTGCTCGCTAATGGGGGTCATGAAGCTATAGGATGCAAAAATGCTTGGTAATAAAGCTGAAATACACACAGTCCCCCCCGTTTCCTACATATTACATATGTGCATGAAAATAGCATGTTTGGGACAGGATTCCGGGGTCCTGGAGCTACACGTGCGTTTGATGCTTCCCCACAGCGAGATCTTTAAAAAAAGAACGCGTTTCACCAGTGATCAGCACCCAGTGACAGCTTTGAGGCGCTGGGAAGTAATTACTTCTTGCTTCCAGCAAGTCTGTCACTTAGGACGAATGTGCCACACCGAGGGAGCTCTGCGTTTTCTAAGACAGAAAACCGCTTCCTGGTTCTCGCAGGCGTTTCACAACAGATGCCAGCGCCTCGGGAAGGCACGGCTCCCCCGGGGACCGCTGGGCCTCGGAGAGGGAGGATCGCTCTCTCTGGCCAGACCCTGCCACTGGGAAGCACTGGCCTTCCTGATTGGTCAACCCCACGGTTCTAACGCCAGCACCGGCCTCCTCCTCCCCCTTCCCTCTCTCTGTGTCTCAATCCGGAATACCTACTGATACACTTTCCCTCGTAGGCCAAGCCGATGGACCTGCCCAGCAGGCAGGTGGCCTTCCGCAGGTGGCAGGCGCTGGAGTAGGTCACCCCGTCGTTGCCGCACAGGTACTGCTCGGAGGAGGCGGGCTCTGGGCAGACCCGGTTGCAGGTCACGCAGTAGGCGTTGTTGGTCTGGTCCACCACGCACGTGGAGCTCCCCGGGCAGAACACGTCCCGGCAGGTCTCTGCGACAACGAGGGAGACGGTTAGCAGGCTGCTTCGGTCCTGGGGAGGGAGGGTCCCCATCGGCCGGGACACAGATCCCCATCGGGAAGAGCCCTGTGGTTCTCAGGCGGAAACCTACCACTCCGGGTTGGTCCCTTCTGAGGTATTTTTCTTTTAAAATATCTTTTCATTGATTTCAGAGAGGAAGGGAGATGGGTATAAAGAGACAGAAACTTCAATGATGAGAGAGAACCATTCACCGGCTGCCTCCTGCTCGCCCCACACAGGGATCAAGCCTGCAGCCTGGGCATGTGCCCTGAGCCGGAATGGAGCCGTGACCTGGTGGGTCACAGGTCAATGCTCAGCCACTGAGCCATGCAGGGGCCGTCCTGAGCTCTGCAGGGGTCTCTGGGAGCTGGGAAGCGTTCCTTTACTTGGGGTCCGAATAGCATGGCCAAGCCCCTCCTGCCCGCCGCCCCTCCCGGCCCCTGGCGGGCCACTCACTTCTGCACTTGCCCTGGTACTGGACCTCCAGCTCGGGCTGCTCCCTGCACCGCGCCTTGAGCAGCGCGCACTCGCTGCGGTAGGTTTTGCCGTCCAGGCCGCACACCGGGCCTCTCCAGGTGACGTTGGAGCAGTCCGGGGCGCAGACGCAGCGCGGTTTGTTCTTCTTGTTCATCCGGCACTTCTTCCCGGGCCCGCAGTCCACGTTCTCGCAGGTTTCTGCTGGTTGGAAGAGGCGGGGCTCAGCGGGCCAGGCCCGGGGCAGGCAGGGGCTCAGCGGGCCAGGCCGGGGGAGGCGAGGAGGTCCGGCAGCTGGACTCTGCGGGCAGGCCTTGCGCAATGGCGCGCGGCGCCCCAGAGGCCCGCTCCCCGCAGGCGCTGGGGCGGGGGCGGGGCAGGGCCGGGCAGTGGGCCTCGCCCCAGACCCAGATCTCTCCCAGAGCCTGGAGCCCCGGTGGCTGGCGGCCACCGCCACACTTGGCGAGGCGGCCCAGAGCCTCCAGCGACCTTGTTTTGCGTAAAAGTGTGTAACAGGCAAGACTCCGCCCTGCGCGCCGGGCCGGACGGGGGACAGGAAGGGGCCCGGAGGGGCGGGCAGGGGGCCCAGCACAGGCCTGCGGCGGGGAGCCAGGGGCGGGGGGAAGAAGGGAGGGGCCCACCTTTGCAGGGGATGCAGTTGGGGGCGCCCCCGTTGAAGATCATCCACTTGAAGAGCGTGTTGTCGTTGACGTCCTCCTCGGTCCACGAGGTGCTGAGGCGGCCAGAGCCGCAGCACTCCTCCTTGCTCAGCTCCGTCTTGTACAGCACCTGGCAGCGCCCGTTGCGCGCCTGGCGCAGCCAGCAGTTCCCGGCTGCGGAGAGGGGAGAGGGAGAGGGGAGAGGCGGTGGGCGCGGCGCCCGGGAGGGGCGGCGGGCGGAGCAGCCCGGAGGGGCGCGCAGGGCGCGGGGTGGAGGGCCCGGAACCCGGGACCCGCAGGAAACACTTGGAAGGCGGTGGAGGGTCGGGAAGCCCAGCCTGGAGAGGTGGGCGGTGGGCGAGAGCCCGGAGCCGGACCCCCCAACCCCGCGCCGGACCCGCGTGCGTTTCCAGGGACCCAGACGCCACACGTGCAGCCGCGCTGCGGGGACCAGACTGCGGGCTCTCCCTGGTCCCGTCTCCTAACCCGCAGCGACGGGAGAACTGGACAAAAACGGGACATGATGGAGGGGAGCCCGGCGGCGGCGGAGCGGGGTCTGGTGGCTCGGTGAGGCCGCGGGGCCGGGGCCGGGGCGGCCCAGCCAGGGGCGGGCGCCGGGAAAATGAAAGCAAACGGCGGCTGGTGCTGCGGGCCGGGGCGCAGCCCGCCGACGGGCCGTGTTGCAATCCGCTGGCCCGGGGGACGCCGAGGCCGCCGCTCTTTCGAAACCCGCCCGGGCTGCTCTCCGCGGCGCCCCCGGCCCGGCCCCGCGCCCGCCCGGCAGCGCCTCCCCGAAGGCGGCGCGGAGCCCGGGGCGCGCGGCGGGGGCGCGTGGACGGGGAGCCGGGCCCCGCGCGCCTCGGGCTCCGGCAAAGTGCGGGGCCGGGAGGGGTCCCCAGCCGGGCCCGGGGAGCGCGCCTGGCTTGTCCCCACAGAATACAGAAATCCCTGCAGGTCCCCCGCCCCCGTTAGCGTTTGGACCGGGGTCCGGACTTCTCCCCATCACCCTTCACAGTCACTGGGCCGTGAGCGGCTGTTAGGATTTCTTTAAAAGTCTGCCCCAAGTCTAACCGAAAGAAACAAATCTAATTAAACTCACACACACACACACACACACACACACACACACACACTGGAGAGGTTTGTCCATCCATCTGAGTCCACGGGGCGGTGGGCTCCTCCCGGTCCTCCTCTGGCGAGTCCCGGAGGAGGAGGGAGTCCGCGGGGAAGGCGAGCCGCGCTCCGCACCCCAGGCCCGGCTGCCGGCGTCCCGGGGTTCGGGGAAGGGACGGGGTGGAAGAAGCCTTCGCCTGGCAGGACGGTGGCTTCCCTCCACCCGCCCAGCACCCTCACTTCCAAGTTTGGGCAAAGTTTCTGAAACCACGTCCCCGGCCCCGGAGACATTTCAGAATCTCCCCTCTGCACCCCGAACCCAGGCCTTTCCACAAAGCGCCCCACGATGTGGGCAGATGCTCGGCTGCACGAGGTGGGGGCGCCGGGCTCTGCGGGCCCCGGACGCTGCCCTCCTGCGAGCCGAGCCCCGAGATACCGTCTCCCCTCGCTGCCCGGGGCGCAGGCATCTAACCCTAACCCTAACTCTACCCCCCGGGGGGCTCCGTGCTCCAGTCCTCTTCGGGGGTCCCCGCGCTCGCTCCCCGCCAGCGGCCCAGCTCCCTGCCCACGGCCCCCCGCGTCCCCCGCCCGGCGGCCCAGCTCCCTGGCTCGGGACCCCCGCGCTCTCCATCCCCGAGGCGCTACGTGGGTCCGTGGACACGAGAGCAACGTCGCTCCGGGCAGACCCCGCGGGACCGCGGAGAAGGGCGAGCCCCGGCCCCGCTTACCCTGGGCGCCGCGGTCCTGCAGGGGCTGGCAGAGCAGCAGCAGCAGCAGGCAGAGCCCGCCGGGCGGGTGCCGGGAGCGGCCCATGGCGGGCGGGAGCGGCCGGGCGCACAGGCGGCGGCGGAGGCGCAGATCCAGGCGCGGCCCGCGCTCCTCGCCGCCGGCCGCCGCGCTCGTGGACGCCGGGCGGGCGCGGCGCTTAAATGGCCGGGTCCGCGGGGCGGGGGCGGGCTGGGGGCCGGGGGGCGGCCGGGGGCGGGAGCTGCGGGAAGTTCAGCGCGAATCAGGTGGCATCGCCCACCGTCTGCAGCCCGAGCATCGGCCGCGGCGCCGGTCCTGGCGGCGGAGGGGGCCCCGGGCTCTTATTGCGCCGGAGCGCCAGGGAGGGGGCGGCGCCGGGGCGGGGAGCGGGAGCACTCCCACTTCCAGCCGCTCGGGGAGTGAGTGTGAGCCTGTGTGCGTGTGCGTGTGCGTGTGTGTGTGTGTGTCTGTGTGTGTGTGTCTGTGAGTGTCTGTGTGTGTGTCTGTGAGTGTCTGTGTGTGTGTGTCTCTCTCTGTGTGTGTGTCTGTGTGTGTGTCTCTGTGTGTGTGTGTCTGTGTGTGTGTGTCTGTGTGTGTGTCTGTGTGTGTCTCTCTCTCTGTGTGTGAGTTTCTGTGTGTGTCTGTGTGTGTGAGTGTGTGTGAGGTGGTGTCTGCGCGCGGCGGGGCGCGGGGGGGACCGGAGTTGTGTGCGCTCCGCGCCGGGGAGACTTTGCAGACGCCCTGGAGCCCGCGCTCGGGTCAGGCCCGGCGGCCAAGGCGAGGGTTTGTGTCTGGTCCGTGCGCGCCCCGCGCCGCGGCCACCCCAGCCCGGCCCGGCGGCCAGGAACCCCGGCGCGGCCCCCGCACCCAGGCCCCGGGTCTCCCCAGTCGGGAAAGAACAGCACGTGTGACACCTCGGCGGCCCCCGGCCCCGCCGCCCGCTCCCTGTCCCCCCTCCCTCCGCCGCCCGCAGCCCCGCAGCCCGGCCCGACGTAGGCGGTCCGCCCCTCCCCCGCCGCTCCCGGTGCTGCCCGAGTCCGCCTCCTCTCCCTCTCCTCCCTCCCTCTCTCTCCCTCCTTCTCTCCCTCTCTCCCTGTCTTTCTCCCTCTCTCCCTCCCTCTCTCCCTCCCTTTCTCCCTCCTCCCTCTCTCCCTTCTCCCTCTCTCCCTCTCCCTCCCTCTCTCTCCCTCTCTCCCCCCTCTCTCTCCCTCCCTCTCTCCCTCTCTCTCCCTCTCCCTCTCTCCCTCTCTCTCTCCCTCTCTTTCTCTCCCTCCCTCTCTCTCCCTCTCTCCCTCCCTCTCTTTCCCTCCTTCTCTCCCTCTCTCCCTCCCTCTCTCCCCGTCTTTCTCCCTCTCTCCCTCCCTCTCTCCCTCTCTCTCCCTCTCCTCTGTCTTCCTCTCTCCCTCTTTCTCCCTCTCTCTCCCTCTCTCTCTCCCTCCTTCTCTCCCCCCCCCCCCCCCATCTCTCCGGGTTCGCAGAATAAAAGGTTGCAACATGGACAGGAACTCGTGCGGCCTCGGTGCCCGGGGACCGCGCCGGGCACTCCGGCTGCACGTTGGCGGCCTCTCCGGTGTAACATCGCGGGCTCCGCTGAATGAGACCCGGGCGGCGGCGATGTTTCCTTTCACACAAAACGTTACATTGTTCACCCCGAAAGCAGCCCGTGAACAACGTCCGTTCCCTGCGCCCCGGCGCCCGGGACCCCAGACAGCGGAGTGTGCGGACCGCACTCCGGGCGCGCGCAGGTCCCAGGATGTTCCCCTGCGGGTGTCCAATCCGCCCCACGCCCCCCCCTCCCCCCACACCCTCCCCCTCCCCCCTCCTCCCTCCCCACCCGCCAGGCCGCCCCGCCGCCCCCGCCCCCGCCCCCGCCGCGTCCACAACTGCAAATAACTCAGCGATAACAGATTTCTTTCCGCCAGCTGCAGGAGATAGCGCTAATCTTTTAATAAAAGATGCCATTACAATGGGATCTGTCTGCCGGACCATAATAGATCCGGGCACCGCCGCGCTAATATTAGCGGACAGTTGTGTGGGGGCCGCTCAGACGGCGGCCGGGGCGCGGCGGGAGCACCGAGCGGCCGCCGCACCTGCACCGCGCGCTCCGCCCGCCCGGCGAGGCCGCGGGGACCGGACCCGCCGCACCATCGCGGTCCGGGACCCGCGGGGCAGGGCGCGGGTTCCGACAGCCCTGGGACTGCACGTCCTTCTTCCCCTTCCCAGACCGACTCCTTCAGGCTTCCCCTCTCCTCTCTCTCCCGTCCCCCCCCCCCCCTCCCGCCTCCGCGGCTCCCCCGCCGCCCCCTCCCGCCTCTGCTCGGCCCCCTCCCCCGCTGCCCCGCCTCCTGGCTCTCCCTCCGCCGCGGCTGGAGCAGAGCTGCCGAGCGCCCTCTAACGGCAGACCACCTAACGGTCCATGTCCTCCCGCGGAGCCGCCACTCCAGGGCCGAGCTCCACGTGGAGTGTCCTTCTTCTGCACTCGGGGACCTGGACAGAGTGCCCCGATAGTAAACGAGATAGAAATACGCTGGGGGGACGTTTGTTCCTCCCCTTCAAGTCCCCCACTCCCAGGGGAAGCGTAGTTGAAGAAAAGGGGAAGGCTAAGCATTATTGTCACTTGACTTTTCCCCCCTCATACAAATGAGTCTGTTAACAGCAGCCAGAGGCACAGATTCTGCTTTAGCTAGGTTTGTCACACCGACGGGAAAGAAGGGAAAATGTCTGAAGACGGAAAAGGTCTCAGATGGAAGGTGTATAGCGGTGCCGATGGCTATTAAAAACTTCCAAGGCCCAAGCCTAATGATAGGGTCCTAGATCTGCCCCCTGTGTTTGTTTCCCTATATGTGTTATTGATCTAGAGAGGAAGGGAGAAATATCACGATGAGAGAGAGTCACAGAAGGGCTGCCTGCCTCCTGCACGCTCCCCACTGGGGCTGGAGCCCACAGCTGGGGCTTGTGCCCCGAACCACAGAACCCAGCTGTGACTCCTGGGTCACAGGCCCGCACTCAGCTGCTGAGCCACTCGGACTGGGCTCTGTTCGCCCCGTTTGAATGAACGTATTGGTTCTGAATCTGCCGTAGACTCTGGAAACTGGAAAATCGAATTCTAATCAGGTTTTTGGCCCTCCTACCATTCGAAGCGTTAGAATTTTACTCATGCTGCGTCATATATGAAGTCACTGTGCCTGGAGGAATGCAGGGCCACATTGTATTCCACAGTTTTATTCTCGGCGCTTTTGGGAAGATAGTTTTAAAGACTATAATTTCCTCATATTTTGTAACCGTAGAGCAACGATAATAGTGATGCAACTTGCATGTTTTTATTAGATATAACTCTTGTTCATTTACATGTGCACATATGTAAGTATAAATATACAGATTAATATAAAAAGAGCACACAGACATGTGCAAGACCTTGTTTTTTTTTTGGGGGGGGGAGAGTATGTGATTAAATAAAAAATAGAAAAGAGGCAAATTTTGGGGCTTAATAAAAAAATACTTATCTGGATGTTTGAGCAAATGTATTTGGTTTATCCACATAATTATTTCAGTTTATATGTATAGAAACAACTGGTGTCCTAAAGTTTTTTTTCTGAATTAATTTCATCCAAGGTGTGTCCACACAATTCCAGTATGATGAATAGAAAGTAAAAAACGGTTTCTATTTTGTCTACACTAGGGGTGTCGAACTCAATCAGAGAAGGGGCCAAAATCTAAAATCCAGCCTAAATCGCGGGCCGAATGGTTTACTGAACAGTCATAAACTGTCATTGTGATGGAAACGCAGCGGAATGCAGTGATGACAGCGCGGTGCGGGCCACATTGCAAGGCCTGGCGGGACGGATTTGGCCCGAGGGCCTTGTGTTTGACACATGTGGACTCTACACAATGCCGAACACTCAGGCCTGCCATCGGACTGAGTCGACGGCACTGACTAGTCGCTCTGGCATCGTGGCATTATCTAGGCGAGGCCCGAGCAGACACAGAGGCTCTCATTGTAAAAAAATGCCGAATCAATGATTCTCTCATCATCGATGTCTCTCTCTCTCTCTCTCACATCCTCCCTCCCTCCCGTTCTCCCTCTCCTTTCCTCTCTGAAATCAGTAAAGATATAAAAAAGAAAGAAAAGAAAAGCAAAAAGAAAGAAGAAAGGAAATATGAAGATAGTGTCAGGCAAGCATGTAAAAAACAGCCTCCACTCTCGGAGCGCAGGCCATGGTCAGAGCAGGCCCAGGACCGCGGCAGGGCTGCCCCTGTGCGGTCAGGGCCGAGGCCCGTGACAAACACATTGCGGAAAACACAAGTGCTGGGTGGCTCTTGCCCTTGTGAATAAGCAGCGCGGTGTTTGCTCAGAGATACAGGCTCATCCTGTTTTCCAGCTGCCCCTTGGCTGGTATCGATCTGTTTGGGAGAATGTCTGCTGCGAATTGGCACAGCTGGGTCATCGGGACTCTTGCTGGCGCCGGGGTATTTTGGGGCCAATCTGAGGCGCCCAGACACAGTCAGCGCCTGCTCCCCAGGGGCCTCCCGTGGGCACAGGCGAGAGAGCCACCCTGTGTCCTGTAGGAGCCGGCGTCGCACCTGCTCGGTGACCTCACCGCACACAGCTGCTGCTTCTCGGGCTGTTTCATCTCCTGTCGATGGTGGTCAATATTGGGTCTGCCGATGTCTAAATGTCAAGGGCACATTTTAACATGAAAATGCCTCCTTTCATTTCTCTTGTAGGCCTCTGAGTTTGACTTCTTCTTTTCCTTTCTGCTCTGCCAAAAAAGTGAATGTAAATGATGAGAAACACAATAAGACCACTTTGTAACCGATTTTCTGGGCGGCACACAAAAAGACTGCTGTTCTAGGACTGTTTTATTTATTTATTTATTTATTTTATTTTATTTGTGTGTGTGTGTGTGTGTGTGTGTGTGTGTCAGCTTCAAAAGCTATCTCCCTTCAGAAGTTTATAAATTTAAAATATTAAGAGCTTAGCCAATGATTGAAGTTAGTTCCCAAGAAAGACATGTGAGATCATACGGAATGGTTGCTTGAGACCAGAACTGACCCGGTTAAATGTCAGCCTTGAAAAAGTTACACACAGAACATGGGAACGTCATGAACTGAGTAGCTTATATATA